CCAACACGCAACCCAGACCGCTCTCGGCCTCGCCGGCGTAGGCAGGTTGGTGCGCAGCGACGCATAGCTCGGGTCATTGTAGAGCTTGACCGCATGGTCGAGGAAGTTGTAGGCCTTTTGCTTCACACCTGGTTCCATCCATCGCGGCCCGATCAGTGTCAAAGTCACGATGTAGTTGCGATGATCGGAAGAAGGCTTCGCGAAGACGTACCGCCCTTCCAGTAGATGAGACCCACATCCAAGTAGGCATACTCGTGGTAGATCTTGGGTTCCCTGTTGATGATGCCCCCGTAGTACGCCAACGCCTCGGTGGTGTTGGCCCGGATGAAGGCCTGCTTGCCGAGCCTCGCCAGACTGGTCAAATCCGTCGGGTCCAACTCAAGCGCTGCCACCGAAAGTGGGCACGAGAGATGAGATGAAGCGACTCTGGGAGAGCAGGTGGTGGGATGGGTAAACTCGTACCACGACGGAAGTACTCGGCAGATTGGGCGGTTTGCCCGGCCTTCTCGAGCTCCAGGGCGTGGCTGTGGAGGATCCTTACGCTGGCGGGGCATGACTCGACCCCGCTGGCGCGCAGCAATCATGGCGGCCGTTAGCAGGTTGTTGGATTCAACTGATCACCCGCAGCAGTAGGTACCAAGTACCTTTGGTAGAGGGCGGCTTCGCTGTCCCAGACAGGGTTGCGCAGGTAGGTGGTGGCCGAGAAGAAGAGAAGGATGGCCAAGCACAGGCACACGAACACCCTGGTGGAGTAGACCTTGTTCTCGTGGCCGCGGTGAAGAAGGTAGCCGACCAGCATACAGAACCCGACGGACGGCACGTAGAGGGCGCTCTCAGCCATCAGCGTGCCGGAGGTCGAGAAGAAGGGCACTGCGAACAGCCCGAACAACATCACCAGCATCTCTCTGCTGTTATCATCAGAGTCGGAGTCGGAGTCGACGTCACCGCTTTGAGCGCGGAAGAAGCGGTGAGGCCACTGCCACACGCTCCACGCGAGAAAGTAGGCGAGGCCGGAGTAGGTCAGGAGCGACCACAGGTTGCGCGGGTCGCTGACGGCCTCCACCAGCGGAATGCAGTTGAACGAATAGTCGAACGACAGCGAAGTCGGCACGAACAACAGGTACAGCGATCTGCGATGGTTCGCGCAGAGTTAACAACCGCCCAGGCAGATGGCAATGCACAATGCGAGCAGGAAGTACCTGAAGTGGAGGTAGGAAGCGGAAAGCAAGATGGTCATCGGGTCGCTGGTGTCGACCAGGGGGTTGTAAGCCATGTTCGGGACCATTCCTGCGCGCATGGCAGTGTGAGGCCATGGGTCATCAGAGGTATTTCATGAGGCCAACGAACCGGAGAAGCTGCCCACGAAGAAGGCGCGGTGCAGTGTGAAGAAAGTGAAACAGGCCGACAGCACGCTCAACCTGAACAGGAAGTGGTACCACCGACGGCTGCACAAACGTTCGATAAGCCAACAGAATCACTAGAAGAGTACAATAGGTCAGGGTGCAGCTCACCTGTCGACATCAGCAGGACGCTGTGTGACCAGATCGAGGAAGCGGCAGTTGTGGAGCAGGTCCCAGAGCGCATTGACGGCGAGTACGGTGACGCCAGCCTCCTTGGAGAAGGAAGAAAGGAGGAAGGAGAGGACGGAGAGAGCGAGGA